TAACCAGGGGCCGTGTACTATTCTCTCTTCTTCTTTTTTTGGAAAAAGGGCCCGTGTATTGTTTTACAACGAAAATTGCACGTAAAAGGCCCAAATCCCAGGAGAAGTAAAAATGGGAAGTAGCCCACCATGGAATCAAAGGGGCCAGGCTAGGAAGCAGTAGGGATATTATTGCTTTAAAAAACGATCTATTCTCCCCTAGCGCCGCCGCTAGGGTTCCAAAATCTCCTCTGGCGTCTCACGCTAGAGTCCACGTAAAATCTCAACGATTGCCGGTTCTTTCTGGCCGCCGGTGGGATCTACCACTACCTCGCCACGCGCATCTACGTGCATGGCGGATTCAACTCAACAGGAGATCGGGGGGAAGGGAGATGAGATGGTGGCGAAGTTAGGGTTAGGGGAGACGGGGACGAACAGATCGGAAGTACCAGAGGGATCGGGTGGGAGGGGGAGTAGTATCAACACCAGGGAGGATGAAGGGAAGAACCAAAGGCAGCAGCCGAGGGAGCACAATCCTGAAGGAGCGGAGGAGGAATACGACGACTATCCCGGAGCTTGCCCTGACTTAGAGGATCAATTCGCTGGCATGAGGTTGTATGGGAAAGAGGAGGAGGATCTTGATTTCTCAGCGGAGGTGGAGGATCTGGTAAAGGATGTGCGCTGGCTCGCTCTGTTTCGGGTGCATACGACGAAGCCGTTTAGCCATGCGGTACTTCTAACACAGATGCGTAATGCGTGGTCTGCGGCGCAGGGGGTCACTTTCAATGTCAAGGGGCCTAATCTTTTTCTTGTTCAGTGTCATTGTTTAGGAGATTGGAGGAAGATTATGGATGGAGGTCCATGGTTGTTTCGGAGGGCACCAGTTGTGATTCAGGAGTACGATGGTTTCTCCGATGTTAATGCATATCGGCTCAACAAGGTTCCGGTGTGGGCTCGGATCAAGGGGTTGCCGGACGGCCTCACAAGGAAGAGGGAGCTGGCTGAGAAAGTTGCTGCTAAGGTGGGCGAGCCCCCTTTCACGTTCATTGTAAATGAGGGAAGGATAAACCCGGCGAGCACCTTGCGAGCTAGGGTGTTTGTGGATGTAAATGAGCCTCTGGTTCGGTTTGTTCCTATAACTCTGAAGGAACACAAGAAGTATTGTGTTTTCTATGAAAAACTCCCGGACTTTTGCTTTGCCTGCAGGCGTATGGGTCATCTTGCGGATGAGTGCGGAGATGGGGTTCATGACCCAGTTTCTTTTGGTTGGGGCCAATGGTTGCTGTGGGAGCCAGAGATACCGGTGGCTCAACCGTATGGCGGCAGAGGGCGAGGAGGGAGTTTTGGTATGGGGGGTGGAGGTGATTCTGGCAGAGGAGATAGGGATAGAGGAGGAAGAGGACAGCCAGGGGGTAGAGGAAGGGGAGCACCTTCAGGTGGCACTATGGGTTCTCAGCATATGGATTTGGATGACCGTAGAGTAGTTCAAGTGGAGGAGGGAGAGAAGGGTGCTTGTAAGAGGTTGGTTGAGGCGGACGGCTCTATAAATATACGAGGACAACAACTTACCAATTTGGCGGGGAAGGTTTCGGGGACAGTACTGTTGCTCATTGAAGGTGCAACAGCGTCGGGCTCCAACATCAACACAGTTTCCACTCCGGAGAAGGTGCATGTTGGCAAGAAGAGGAGATAGGAAGGAGAGGAAGGGGAAGATGTGGTGCTTATGGAAGAGGCGGCCTCCCTCGAGGAGGGCCGCCAAGCCTGATGAGGACATTATGTTGGAACTGCCGTGGGATAGGCGACCCCACGACAGTTCATGAACTCCGCGCTCTCGTGGAGGAATGTGCGTCGTCGGTTTTTGTATAGTGGAAACGCAAATTGCAAAAAACCGAGTGGAAGGTTTGGCGGCTTCTTTAGGTTTTCATAGTAGTTTTGCAGTAGCTAGTAGTGGGCGGAGTGGAGGTTTATGTATCTTTTGGAAGAATGATGTTACTCTATCAATAAAGAACTTTTCTCAGTACCATATCGATGCTTGGATATCGACCGCAGGTATGGAGCAATGGCGCCTTTCTTGTTTCTACGGGGAGGCGAATAGAAGCTTGCGACATAACACTTGGGAAACTATGAAGAGACTGAGGGGGGAGAGTACTTTTACCCTGGCTTTGCATTGGCGATTTCAACGAGATCTTGCGCCAGGAG